CCCCCACCCCCACCCCCGAGAATTATCTTACAAACCTAAAACACACTTTACTCCAGATGGAATTGGGTGGAGTTTGGAGAATAAATAAGAATTTACCTAAGCCAAGTGAGAATGTTTTCTAACAGCTTTCTGCCTGTTTAGACCTTGGCTCAACTTTACAAATACATCCTGATCTGTCCAGTTTAGGTAACGAAGAACATGGAATGAGTAACAGAATCGACTGGTTGAAACCACATTTTCCCCTACCTCCACTAAGTATGCTAATGCTTTACAGGAGACCCTTTTTTTGAAAAGACTTTAGGTCTGTTAAATTCTAGGTAATCACTTAAATACTACTTTCAAAAAGCATGATTCCGTTTACAAAGCACTCTATGTACTAGATTCCACTGCTGGAGGAAGAGATTGTACGGTGATAGCTTTCAGGTACTTTTAAAGTGTCGCATAAGCTGCGAAGAGCCATGAAGGTAACCTTAGTTACTGATGTTGTAGGGCATCCTTTGTAGTCAGGTTATGTGGTTGAGTTCCGGGAGGGTTTCTGCTCCCAGCCCTGAGTGGCAGAGGAATGAGCTGGTACTGTCTGCTTTGGTTCCAGGGCTGCCCTGTCTCACAGCGGGAGTCCAGGCATGGTTCCAGAAGGGAACGGAACGTTTCTTGACGATGCTCACAATGTTAGTGAGTGGCGGGAAGTTCTCACGGGTGAAGAGATTCCCTTTGAATTTGAAGCACGAGGAAAGCTAAGACACAGGTAAAACATGGTTTATTTCTCTGCCCCCTCTCTGTATATATGATACGATATGATATGATATGATAGTCCCTAGTGTTTTGCCTTTTCACAAATAATGTTTTATTTTTAAAAGCTATTTTGAAAATCAGTGTTTCCTTTTAAAAAATATGATTGTCAGGCCGGCCGAGTGGCTCAGTTGGTTAAGAGCTCGCTCAAGAATTTGAGCTCTGAGCAACAGCGGTTCGAGTCCCGGCCTGAGCTGAGCTGCCAACAGGTGGCAGGATGGCTCAGCTAAAAAAAAAAAAATATGATTGTCTCTCTTGGAAATACTATTTTTCCCATTAATTACCTCTTTATTTGACATGGTGAGGTGACATCCTGTGTGTTTCACATAATTTGGTTGAAGCATAGATAGATCATAATACTCAAGTTCATTGCCTCGTAGCCTGGTTTTCATGATACAGTGGTGACATGGTATTCTTAAAAGGTTATCAAAGCATATTGATTTTTTTTTAAAAGATTTTTATTGGGGAATTGGGGGGATGGGAACAGTGCTGGGGAATTGGGGAAAGGGGAACAGACAAGTTGCTGTCGTTTTGTTCTTCAATCTAGTTGTGGAGGACGTTGCTTCACTGGCCCAAGTTGGCACCATCATTGCGCTCTTCTCTGGCGAGGCAGATCAGTCGCCGGCTTCTGGACGGCCGCTCACTGCGGCTGCTGGCCGCTCACGCTGGCTGCTGGCCGCTCACGCTGGCTGCTGGCCACACACGCTGGCTGCTGGCCACACACGGTAGCCCATGGCAATCCACTGCCACAGGGACTGCAGCCCACGCCGTCGCCAGCGACTCATGGCAGCCCAGCTCCAGGTTGAGCTGTTGTTCAGCATCTTAGCTGTGGAGGGCAGTGTCACTGGCCCTCATATGTGGGATCCGAACCGGGGCCCTCTGGCATCCCAAGCGAGTTCTTAACCATCGCGCCACTCGGCCGGCTCAAAGCATATTGATTTTAATTTTACAATACGTATGTGCCATGTAGCACTTTTAGCAAGTAGATGTTTTCAGGAAGCAGAGCCATAATGATAAGCCACTCTGATTCTAAGGAGGATAAGAACAACTCATCTAGGGAGACTACTCACTAATGCTCTCATTCTTGGCACATCCATCCAAGGGACTGGAACACATGAATGAAGATTGTGGCTGGTTACTGAGAGATCATAAAATGTCTAATAAAGTATTCTTCTATTTACAAACATTTTTAAGGGGAAGGGCTAGCCAGTGAATAGGTTAAGATTTTAGCATTAAGAGAGCCTCATATCTCTTTCCAAGGTGAGCTGAAATTTACAAGATGGGATTCAGCTCTCTGTAGCCATATGCTTTCATGAGGCTTTAAGCCTTTGTGTGCAAACCTGCTCCTAAGTCAAATACGTCTTCCTTTTGCCTAGCTTTGTACCAGCACACATTTCTTTTTAGTGGCAAGAGCTCTGACCTCATGACCCCCCAGTAATTTTACAGGAAAAATATAGTTTTAAAAAATTGCTGTGCTGGGCCGGCCGAGTGGCGAGTTGGTTAAGAGTTGGCTTGGGACGCCAGCTCTGAGTGACAGGGCCCCGGTTTGGATCCCACATGAGGGCCAGTGATGCTGCGCCCTCTACAGCTAAAATGGTGAACAACAGCTCGACCTGGAACTGGGCTGCCTTGAGTCACCAGTGACTGCGTAGGCCGCAGTGGGGCTGGCTGGCAGCTGGCGTGCACTTTTGTGAGCTGCTGTGAGCCACCGTGAGTGTCCGTCCAATGGCTGGCAAGTGACTGTCTCACCCAGGAAGAACGCAGTGATAATACCAACATGGGCCAGTGAAGCGACGTCCTCCACAACTAGACTGAAGAACAAAAGGACAGCAACTTGTCTATTCCCCTTCCCCAATTCCCCAGTGCTGTTCCTTTCCCCCAATTCCCCAATAAAAATCTTTAAAAAAATAATAAAATAAATAAAAAATAAAAAATCGCTGTGCTGAGTACATGCACCTGAAAGCCATGTTAGAATTTCCAAGGATGAGTGATGAGCTTTTTCCTGTTCCACAAGGTTCTTGGAGAAGCTACTAGAACTGTTAGCTTTCTTAATAAGCGCTGCCCCTGATGAAAGAGTTTGGCCTCTTTGTCGGTTTCCATGTTTTGCAGCCCATTTCAAGTCCCACCGTTCTGCTTGAATTCATCAAAACAAATGCCTTTTCTGGCTTTTCCCCCTTTGGCACACTGTGTCCCACTCCCTGCCTCCCTCCCTTCTTCCTGTCAGCCTCAAATCCAGCTCCCCATTTCAGGCTTCTGGCTTGAATTAGGCAAAATCTAAAATAGAATTAGATGTGCAATTTCCTCCTGTTCCTCCTGTTCTGCCCACTGCCTTCTGCTCCAGTTCCAGCTGAGCACTTCAGCCCTCAAACTCTGAGGGCTCCACCTCATAACCTGTCTGTGGCCTTGTAGGTCTGAAGCCACGTCACCGAGTGTGATTCTGAGAGAAGTAGGGTATTTAACAAAAAACCAAGAGGAAAGTGTCGTTTCATGCATTTCCAAGAGTATGGTTATATGATTAAATTGCCAGTACAACATTTTACTACCCCACTGAAATGGTTTTAGCTGACATCACTAGTTTATAAAGGTTGGGGTGGCGTTGGTGAGGGAAAGACCTGGGCTCGTGTACAGATTTGTGTGGTTCATACAAAAGCAGGACACATGCCACTTGCTCAAGCTTTGCATATCTTGCGATTTTGTTTTAAGTGTGAAACCCAGTTAATGGAGCCTCTTGATTTCCCTTGCGTGAGGCCATCACCAAAAGGCTTATTAGCCAACTGGGTTTTTCTGTCATCATGTAGTAAATCAGATTTGAATCTTTGCTTCTACTTTTCTTTCCTTTTAAAGATTGTCTTTAAAATGTCTTTTTCTGTGTTCTGCCTGCAGACACACCCATGACCTCCGGATTCATCAACTGCAAGTGAGAGTGAATGGCTGGGAGCAAGTGAGCCCCGTGTCTGTGGACAAAGTCGGGACCTTTTTCCGATATGCAGCACCAGATAAGAATTCGTCTTCCTCTACGGTGTGTAGCTGGGGAATGGCTGTAGATTATGCCCTGGCCACACCCCCCTTAAAGCCAGGCAGTCAGACAGCGAAGCCTGTGGTAGCCTTGCTCTAGTGAAGTTTTCTTGTTCTTTATTTCCACTAGCTGTAGGAAGAAGGCATGAGATTATTTCAGTTCAGTCATAGGCATTGGTAATCAATATGTAGAAAAGCCAGCCAATAGTTAATGTCAGTAGAAAAGCAAGATCTAAAATAACATTAACACATATTTCCTCACCTGTGCAGATCCATTTCATACTCAGCTGGCCCACCTGGCGATTCACTAGTCTGCTGGACATGTATTGGCTTTCCCTCACACACTGTTTTGCTTCCTCCAGATACTACCTTCTTTCAGTTGCTCATGATGCTGCTCCTTGATCCTTCTAGCTCTGTCTTTCCAATTTCTCCATTCTGGCGTGAAGACCAGTGAGCGCTGTTGTATATTTTCTGATCTCACACCCTCTCACACGCCCTTGCCCAAACTTTCCCCAGCCTGCAGTTCCAGGGTTGGAGGACCAGCCAGGGGAGTGATGAGTGTGCAGGGAGAGGCCGGCGTCCCGGCTGACATGGTCGCCACGGGTGCTTGTGCCCAGCACTCATCATACTTCCTGGGGTCGTGGCACTCATGTTTAGGCAGCCAGTGACGAGTGAGGCAGCGCGGATAGCAGAGATGGGGTCGCTCTCGCCAGACATGCTTTCTTCTTGAAAAGTGTTCTTGGGGAACACTTTTTGCTACCGTTCCTCTCTTGTGCTTCCGGCTTCTTAGAAAAGGAGACTTTCTTTCAAGATTACTTTTCTGCCTGAATTCATGTCTTGTAATGAATGGCCTAATATCCCCCATAGGTACCTATCTGTTGTATTGATGTGTTCTACAGAACTTTGTGTACCTGGAATGGTTGTAAAATGAGTGTTACTTTTCCCATATCTTTGAAGATAATGTGTTTTCTCTTCGTAGAAGACCATACTTGACTAAGAGTATTTATAAACACCACCCTTTCAAGCAAATTACGTTCTCATTGAATTTAATGATGCTTATTATGATCTCAGGTCTGTGCTGACGCTCTGACTTTTGGAATCTTTCTTAGATTGGCAGCCCAAGCAGCAGAACAAATATCATTCATCCCCAGGTTTATGTGAGTATGATTTTCCTGTGTCGCTGTGTGTTTGCACTGCGCCTGAACCATACATACGCGTTTATTTCTTGATGGTCAGGGAACTTTGGGACTTATAAGTGATGGGAATTTACCTCTCGTCCTTTTCTGTTAATGATTACCTTCCTTTTATAAGAACTTGCAAGAAAATGTTTTCACCTAACTTGGTGTGTGAGACTGAGTATTACAGGTAAGGAGAAGACAAAGCAAATTTTTTGTTTCACAGTCCCCTTTTCTGTCCAAGTTAAAATACCAGGGGTGCCAAAAAAATGTATACACAATGACTTGTATTCATCTTTTGTTATTGGTATATATTGAGTATTACAATTTTAACACAGTTTTTTCCTTTCTTAAAATGTGTATACATTTTTTGGGCACCCTCTATATAAATTACCCCTTGTGTGGCTATATGTATTTCATAGGTTTGGGTTCTAAGGTCATGAAAATAATAAGAATGAAAAATAGTAAAGATTTTTTTTTCCACATTTGGCTTTTGAAACATCATCACAAGATAACATTAAAAATATTTTTAGGTTTTTGCTTATAATGTCTTTACCCTTCAGATAGTAAGTTTTGAAATGTGAAATTTCGGGTAAGTTTGGAGGTGACAGGATCAAGATTTAAAACAATTGTCCTTGGCGTGGCTCTGCTGGGCCTTTACTAGGCTGGTCAGTGGGCGCTTCGGTGATGCTTGCGCCTGGGCTCCGTGTCTCTTAAGAACACTCCAGAAAGGTAGAGTTTGCCTTTTCATTGGGACTGCCTGGAAGTCTCGGTTCAAAACACAGAGCTCTTCATTTTATTGTTTATTAGGTTGGTTTTCACGTACCGTTTGTTTTAATTAAAAAGTTGGCAGTGTGAAAAGCTTGGCTGGGGTGTTGTTTCTTTCTCCAATAAAAAAGCATTGTCAGTACGTTCTGGACACTCATGCTAAGAATTATAGTTTCAGAACTCTCTATTGTTTACCTGATGTGGAGTTTTATGCTTAAAAAAAGAAAGTTTCTTGGCCCATGGTGGTAGCACAAAATGTATGTTGAATGTTTGAATAAACGTATGGAAAAAGAAAGTAGTGACTGCCACCCAAGACCAAAAAATAAAATATTTTCCTCCATTGTGTTGAGTTCCTGAAACTCGGCATCCTGTTTATGAAGGAGTGATTACTGTATGGAACTTAGAAGGTTGTTGTGAAGAAGGAGAAGTTTGTTTTTAAAGCTCTTTGAAATAAAAATGTTGATTTTTCTATAGGCATGTCAACCAATAATGTATGGGCCTAGAGAGTGATTTTTATGACATTTGGAAAAAAAAGTTCTTGTTGGCGTGAAAGGCATATCAGTACAGACCACTCTTTATTGTACACTCTCTGGAGTTTACAAAGACAAGTTATAATCTCAGAAGACTTCCTTCTGTTTTTCTGTGTGTGTTTTGGACAGCGCTCAACCCATTATTAGTGTTCAAAGAATGTTTTCTCACTTTAATATTAGCCTGGGAGAAAAACAGCACAGAAGGCAAATCATTTACTGTTTTGCAAAGTCCTACTTCAATGCTGCTGAACTTTTAGTTGCTGTGGATGGCCTTTACTCCCCTCAAGTAGAGTTGAAAATAAGTCTTGTTCACAGTTTCCATATAAGGGCTGATGTGTAGGAACCCAATGGCATTGTGGATGAAGGATCATTTCCAGCAGATACCTTCTTACCAAACTGCGGGATGTTTGGAAAATTTGATAGGTTACTACCAGTCTTAGGTGAAGTTCTTTATAATGTGTCTAGTGGCCCAGGACTGATTTTTCTTTGTGACACACTTTGTGATACCACACTGAATACGTTTTCTATTTTTATAGAAATGTTTAGAATTGGCTGTTTTAATAGTGTATATTTATGGGACAGTCACTCCTATGAAAGCTGAGTGGTTTTAGGGCTTAATGACTTAATTTCACCATAGAGCTATAGTGTATTAATAAGATGCTTTTGATTTAGGCATTCTGGTTGGTATTGCATTTTCGTGTGTCTGTTTGAAAATCACAGCTACACCCTTTTCTCTTGTATGTGTTTTTCACAGTTCTCATCACTCCCACCCGTCCGGGTGGTCTTTGCAGTGACCATGGAAGGCAGTGCTCGGAAAGTAATCACCGTCCGATCCGCCCTCATTGTGAAGAACAGACTTGAGACACCAATGGAACTAAGGCTGGACAGCCCGTCAGCGCCAGACAGTAAGTTCTGACATGGCCTGTCTGTCTTTCATTCTGAGGCCATCAGACTTCTGGGTGGAAGCCCTTGCCTGAATGCACTAACACTTATTTCTGTGGCAGAGCCCGTGGTGCTCCCCGCTGTCATGCCAGGGGATTCCTTTGCTGTGCCTTTGCACCTCACTTCTTGGCGGCTGCAGGCCCGGCCCAAAGGACTGGGTGTATTTTTCTGTAAGGCTCCCATTCACTGGACCAATGTAGTGAAGACGACAGACGTCAGTAGCAGCAAACGCGAGTGCCACTCAATGGACACAGAAAAAAGCCGGTTCTTCAGGTACGCACAGTGCTGCAGTGGCGTGTCAGTCTGCTTTTCTTTTTTCCCTTTATTCTTTCCCTAAGAACCCTTAGTAATTCAGTTGTGCTTATTTAAAATCCTGAAGTTCTTATTCCATCCATTCTGGTGTTCGAGTTATAACAATCCAAGGGTTAACCCTTGGTGGGCGTTGGGACTGATGCGTATCATCTAACGTGTGGGAGAAACAACCAAAAAACACAGTGCTCACACATACAAGATTAGAAACATGTATGTATGCATCCGCATAAAGAGAGGACAAGTAGAGGAGGAAGAAAAATTACCAGTTCCCATTCCTTAGTTGGGAAGCAAAACCTTTGGGTTTAGAGTTTTTCAAATGACAGATTTCAGTGGAATTTCTATGAAGGTTCATGGTCCTAGTACTAACTTTTCTTGGGGACTTCAACAAAATTATCTAATCATTTAGATTCTTTTCCTCTCCTGAAGAGTATAAGTAATATATTACTAGATTTAATGTTGGAAAAACTACTGCATTGCTGATAATTAAGTTTTCCTATGCTACACTTTAAACTTATTTAGAGGTTATCAGCTTTAGTTTTCTTTACAGTGAAGACAGGCATCCATTTAGTTTAAACTTACAGTAGAAGTATCAGAATAGTATAAAGAATCCCAGTATACCCTTTACCCAGATTTGCCAATTGTTAACAGACTAAGGGGAGAAATAGGTAAATACATAGCCATAATTGGTGATTTTAACACTACCTAGCTGTCAGTAACTTATAAAACAAAAAAACCAATAGAGATAGAAAAGGATTTGAGCAGTGCTATCAATCAGCTTGTCATAATTGATGCATATAAGACACTTTAACCAATAACTCCAGACAGCATAGTCATTTCAAGTATGTGTTAAACATTCAAGAAAGACCATTTAAGGATGGCTCAACTAAAAAAGAAAGACCATTTACTGGGCCATAAAACAAAGAACAATAAATGTTAGGGAACTGAAACCATACACAACACATTTCATGATCACAATAGAATTAAACTGGAAATCAATAACAAGATACCTACAAAATCCCCAAATATTTGGAAATTAAATAATACATTTCCAGTTTACCCACAAGTCAGAAAGAAGTCACAGAGGAAATTTAAACATTTCAAACTGAACAGTAATAAAAACCAGACATATTAAAATGTGGAGGATGCAGCGAAAGCAGTTCTAGAGGGAAAAGGTGTGGCTTTGATGCTCATATTAGAAAATAAGGCAGGTATAAAATCATTGATCTAAGCTTCTACCTTAAGGCAGAAAAAGAGGAGCAAATTAAACACAAACCGAAAAGGAAACAATAAAAATAAGTATGGAAGTCAATGAAATAGAAAGCAAACATAGAGAAATATCAACAATGTCAAAATTGGCTTTTTGAAAAGATTCATATTTGATAAACCTCTAATAAGACTGATCAAGGCAAAGAGAAAGAAAACACAAAATACTAATATAAGGAATGAAGAAAGGAGACATTATTACAGATCCAATAGACATTAAAAGGAGATGTTATAAACAACCTTATGCAAATAAATTCCACACTAGAATGACAAATTTCTTGAAATATACAGATTATCAAAACTGACTCAAAGGAAATCGAAAATCCAAATAGTCCAATATATCTATTAAAGAAATTTAATTGGTAATAAAAAGCCTTCCCACAAAGAATACTTTAGGACCATATGGCTTTACTAGTGAATTCTACGAGACATTAAGAAATAATACCAGTTCTATGCAAACTCTTTGAGAAAGTATGGGAGGAGGGAACAGTTCCTCACTCATTTTAGGATACCATCATATTCCTGATACCAAAACTGATGTAGATATTATCAAAGAAAGAAAGAAAGAAAACTATGAATCAGTATTCCCTCATGAAGAGTTGCAAATATTCATGACAAAATATTACCAAATAGAATCCAGCAAGTGAGGTTTATCCCAGGAATGTAAGATTAGCCTAACATTTGAAAAATCACTAAATGTAATTTACCATATTAACAGCCTAAAAGAAAAAAACATCGGACACCTCAGTACATGGAAAAAAAATAAAAATAAAAAGCACCTGCTAGAATTCATCACTCATTCCTGATAATGCTCACAGCCTACTAGGAAAAAAGGGAACTTTTCCAATTTGTTAAAGGGCATCTACCATAAACCTACAGCCACCATTGTATTTAATGGTGAAACCTTAAACGCTTTTCAGGAGCAGCCACTCTGTTTGGCATTGCAGTACTGGTCCTAGCCATTGCAGTAAGGATAAATAAATAAACAAGAAATTGAAAAAGCATGAAGATCTGAAAAGAAGTAAAACTGTTTTATATGCAAATGACACAATTAAGTATGTAGAAAACACCATGGAAAATTATAATACCTAAATAAATTTATCAAGGTTTCAGGATTCAAGATCAACCTATAGAAATCAATGGTATTCTCATATTCTAGCCAAGAACAGTTGGAAAATGTGATTAAAAAACATACCATTTACAATAGCATCAAAAAACATTAGCTACCCAAGAATAAATCTAAGGAATGTTGTACCAATCTTCTACTCTAGGAAATAAAAAACTTTGCTGAGGGAGATTGAAGAAAATCTAATAACTAAGTAGAAATAAATAACCAAATTCATGGATGGGAAGACTCAGTATTGTGAGGCTTTCCATTCTCGATAAATGGATCTAGAGATACAGCCCAATTTGGTTATCAACAACCCTGTCAATCAACAAGATAATGAATAAATTTAAAAATGGTATGTTCATACATTGGAATAAGAATCAAATACGATGCATACAAAATGGCTGAATCTTGTTGAAACTTCCATTTTTATGTAAAAATAGCTTAGTACATGCTGTATCATTCCATTTATACGCAGTTTGAGCACAGGCACAACTAATCTGTAGTGACATATCAGAAAGTAGTTGATTAAATGATGGGAGTGAGGGTTTTGATTGGAAGGGTATGTATGTGAGGTTGCTTTCTGGAGTGAGAGAAATATTCTGTAACTGGCTTTAGGTGGTGGTTATAGACATGTATGTGATTGTCAAAAGTCATCATGCTAAACCTTTAAAATCTATACATTCTATTCTGATTTAATTATACCTCATTAAATGTGTTTGGGTTGAAAATAGCAAATATCTTACTGAATTCTTGAACCATTTTAATGTTATGCTTTCTCATACTCAGCTAAGGAGAAAGAATTCAAGTTCTTCATTCAGGCTGATGGTTTTTACCCCATTTTGTCTTCATAGGTTTTGTGTGGCCATAAAGAAAGAGAATTACCCAGATTACATGCCCTCGAACATATTTTCTGACAGTGCAAAACAGATTTTCAGACAGCCCGGGCATACCATATATCTCCTGCCAACTGTGGTCATCTGCAACTTGCTACCTTGTGAACTTGACTTTTATGTTAAAGGAATGCCAATTAATGGGACCCTGAAACCTGGCAGAGAGGTAGCTCTGCACACAGCTGACACGTCCCAGAACATTGAACTGGGTAAGGATTTAGTCAAATCATCATTTGTAGTAATTCCATGGAAATGTCAGTATTTTGTGATCATTTGGTAAACATTTTAGAGAAATCATAGCACACACAGTATCTCAATATGCTAGCTCAGAAGAGTCATGAAGTTTTAAAAAATACACAAAACTTCCAAATTAGAAAATTATCAAAAGCATTGACCAAGTCCAAAAGATTTACAGGGGAGCACTCAACAGAGCGTTTTTTCTCACATTGCTCACTTGCTGTGTGACTCTGGGAAGTCATTTCATCTTTCCAAACCATGCTTTTTACTAGCTATAAAATGAGCCAAGTCCTGTCTCTCCTCTTTTCAGGAAAGGGAAAAACGTGCCATACACACACTGTACCCCAGGCGTTAGGTCAGGTGCCTCACACACATGATCTCATGTAATCCTTCAGCAGTAGTTACTTGTCCCATATTACTGATGAAGAAATTGGGGTTTAGAGTATTCAAGGTGTCAGGTAGTTTTCAGGAGTAGGGATGAGCGAAGTTGAGGTAGAGAATCACCACCCGATTTGTAGCTCTTACAGCAGAGAGGTCCTTGTGGAATTTGGGCGGGAAGTATGCTTCTTTAAGGCTGTTGCAGATATGTTGAAATAATCATGACTTAGATACTGATCTTTTTATAGTTTCGTATATCATCTCACTTGATCTTCACAACAGCACATGTATTCAGGCAGAGAGACAGCTGCTCTCCCCATTTTACAGCCAGAAACCTGAACCTCATTGACCTTAAGCCGTGTGTCCCACAGCAGTAAGCTTGCATGTCAGCGAATATACAAACCCTTGAGCTTAATTTAGAAAAGACAAATAGTGCAGTGCTGGTTGTCCATTGTAAAGAAAATAGGTCTGTGCTCTGACATTTAAGTATTTCTTCAGCAAATGTTTATTGAGCCGCTGTGTGGCATAGAAATACCCTCACCGCCGCTGTGCACACCCAGCACTCTTTAGCTTCCCAGTCCGCTTTACATGGATCGTCACTTCTAATAACAATCCTGTGACATACTCGTAGGTACTACTGTTACCCCATTTGGCAGGTGAGGCGCAGTGAGGTTAAAGAGTGTTCCGCACCATGCAGCTTAGTGAGGCCAGACTGGGACTTTGCAGCCAGGCTGTTTGGCTGTAGAAACCATGAACCTTACCCTCTTCTCTGCCTCTATTGGGTCTTAGGCACCCACCCCGGGTCCTGATGCATAGAGAGCTCTTAATAGTCATCGCTGTTATTGATAGCTTTTTTGGTATTTTCATCTTTCTCATGATGCAGTACAGACTTCCTAGTGTGACATCCAGGCCACCTGGTTTGTTTCATATGTAAAGAATCCAATTTCGTTTGGCTGTGGGTATTTTGACAAACTAAAGTGAGAACCCAGGAAGACAATAGCTTGCATCTCCTTTAGGGGTATCACTGGAGAATTTTCCGCTCTGTAAGGAATTACTCATCCCACCTGGAACCCAAAACTATATGGTAAGAATGCGACTCTACGACATCAACCGGCGACAGCTGAACCTCACCATCCGGATTGTGTGTCGGGCAGAAGGGTCCTTGAAGATCTTCATCTCTGCCCCTTATTGGTTGATTAACAAAACAGGTATGTACAGAGAGGTTGCTCGGGGAGGCCTTTGGCGTTAGTCATGGGAATTCACATTTATTTGCTCAGCTCACTAAATGGAGCCAATGCAAATAGACGACTTCAACCCCCTAAGCTGCCGGAACGCTCGTGCTTCATAATTGCTCAGTCATGGTCCAGACCGTCCTGTTAGACAATGAACTGAGCCCACTCAATCAATTCCATTTTCTTTTTTTTTTTTTTAAAGATTTTTATTGGGAATTTGGGGGATGGGAACAGTGCTGGGGAGTAGGGGGAAGGGGAACAGACAAGTTGCCGTCGTTTTGTTCTTCAGTCTAGTTGTGGAGACGTTGCTTCACTGGTCCAAGTTGGCACCATCATTGCGCTCTTCCTGGGCGAGGCAGACCAGTCGCCGACTTCTGGACGGCCGCTCACTGTGGCTGCTGGCCGCTCACGCTGGCTGCTGGCTACACACGGTAGCCCATGGCAACCCACTGCAGCAGGGGCTGCAGCCTACGCTGTCGCCGGCGACTCACGGCAGCCCAGCTCCAGGTTGAGCTGCTGTTCAGCATCTTAGCTGTAGAGGGCAGTCACTGGCCCTCACTCATATGTGGGATCCGAAGCAGGGCCCTGTGGCGTCCCAATCCAGCTCTTAACCAACACGCCACTCGGCTGGCCCTCAATTCCGTTTTCACTCTTTTCCCCCTCGATGATTTTTTTTCTTTTACTGTTTGCACCTGTCTTGGATAGACTGGGTGGGATTGATGTAGACTTTTCCCCTCCTCCCTAAAGGGTTACCACTGATCTTCAGACAGGACAATGCCAAAACCGACGCCGCGGGCCAGTACGAGGAGCACGAGCTGGCCCGGAGCCTGAGCCCTCTCTTATTCTGCTACGCTGACAAAGAGCAGCCAAACCTGTGAGTACGGTTATTTATGGGGAGGGGAAGTGAGCTCCGAGGGAAGGGAAAAAATTAGCACAGGCTATAGTATATCCGTGTAAGCAGAAATATACTGTAGATAACAATCCCGACTTGGCAGGGGACTGGGACCATGACCTAATGGGATTCTTTCGGATCTAATTTCTGTTACTCGATAGTGAAAATAAACCATTTGGTTGGTTTATAATGAAAGCTAGTTTTATTTTACATGTATTGAAGTAGTTCTATTCATAACTCTGCCAATGAAGAGAAACCCACATGTTCTGTGCACAGTGTTCTTACCCTGTGAGCTCTCAGCACAGGGGAGCTGGCACGGGAGGCAGGCGGGCGGCGTGACTGGTCCTTGGATACAGCCTCCACCCCATCAACCAATCCAGATCGTTCTGTGTACGGTTTTGAAATCCATCTTTTACCCTTGAGTTAAAATGTACCATTTCAAGACCCCCAGGCTCTCATTGTACGTTTAAAAGCAGGGAAAAGCACCAACGTGAGGATTAGATGGCATGTCCTTATAACTCATTAACTTTTGTGCTTGGTTTTGACATTCTGCTTTTTACAGGAGTCTTCTAATTTATAGCCTTAATCCAAACATAAATGGGCATATCTGACTGATACTGCTCGAATGCCGTACCCCATTATCTGCGGAAGTATGCTGCATGCTTACGAGGAGGGCTGAGGGGGCACCATACTGCGTGCCAGTGGGCGCAGCTGTGCCTGTGGGGCGGGGAGGCTGGAGTCAGGAGAGGATTGACTAGGGTCTTGGATGGTGGATGTACAGACACTTGCCGTGGTCAGCAAGCCCCGTCTCACGCTTCCTGGAAGGATTTTGACAGTTGTTGATCTAGGACTTGATGTTCCTAATAGTTTGTTTTATCCAGGGAATTCACACTTCCCAAAGCTTTTCCACATAAACCATCCCATTTGATTCTCCCAACATCCCAGTGGGTTAGGCAGGGCAGGAAATAGTGTTTTATTTTAAGACGAGCAAACTGAGGCTGAGAGAGAGAGAGTTTACCCACCCAAGGTTATGTTGTTCGTGGTAGAACTGGGACATGCGTTTGGGATTATGGTTCCAGGATCCGTGACCAGAACTTGGCCCACTAGACAGTGCTTTGCCATTGCGCTAGGACCAGACCTTAGGAGGAATGTACCGTTAGCTGCATTTTCTGCACCAACTTTACTTGGATGCTCAGAATGGTGTGCACACTTTTCTATGTTCAAGGTATTTCACGAACCCCTGAAACACCTGAGTCAGGAAAGTATCCGTTTGTCTTGAATCCTTGTTTTTCAGGGGAATATAGACAGGTAGCATTTCCCACATGTCTTAGGCTAACAGAATCAGAATGTTTTTTCCTAAAGTGCTCAGTTGAAGATGTCCATACATTTTACACGTTGTTGTACTGTGACCACCTCTGAGATGGCGTTTTGACCACTGATAGTGAATTGCCTTGCTGTGTTTGGGAATCACATGATAGTGAGGCAGAGTCAACATTCGAGTTCTGATTTGGGACGTTAGCTACGGCAGTGTTCCCTGGTGAGGACAGCTGGATGAGACTTTCTGATGGGGGATATATAAACCTTTGCTTTTCTGTCCCACAGCTGCACGATGAGAATCGGAAGGGGCATTCATCCTGAAGGCATGCCGGGCTGGTGTCAGGGCTTTTCCCTGGATGGTGGCAGCGGCGTCCGAGCTTTGAAAGTCATCCAGCAAGGAAACCGCCCAGGGCTCATCTATAACATTGGTGGGTTTGATCTGTAAAGTGGTGGGTTATATGCGGGGCAGCCGATGACCTCAGGCATGGAGGAATAAGCCCGCCATACATTTTGGCCTGGCTGCAAGTGCTGGTTTTCCCGTTCAGCATTGGGTCAGGTATCTTTGCTCTCAATGCTAGATGGATATCAGCACCGATCTGTTCCCCTGGGGATCTACGGAGCTACCTAAACACCTGCCCCTTTGAGGTCTGGGGCTCTGTTTAATTTCAAACTCACCTGTGTGAGGAAAGTATCAGTTTGGCTTAAACCCTTGTTTTTCATGGGAATAATGGGAACACTTAGCATGCTTTTCATCCTCCAAGCATTTCCCACGCATTCATTAAAATTTGCAAACTCTAAGAGGGTAGGAAGCATTGTTCTCCTTGAAACTGAAGCAGAGAGGTTAAGTGACTTGCCCACATGCAAAGGGGAAGTCTGGGTCACAAGTGGGATTATGATTGAGGCGTATACACTTGAAGCAGAAAATACAATAAAAAGCACTTGGTGGTTATAGTAATTAGAAGCCCACTAAACTAGTTTAGCTTATGGAGGTGGAAGGTGGAGAAAGGAGAATACCTATATACTTCATATCCACCTAGAACGCCCAAAAGATTTTCCCGAAGAGTGAAGATCAACTTTTTTTTTTTTTAAGGTTTTTATTGGGGAATTGGGGGATGGGAACAGCGCTGGGGAATTGGGGGAAGGGGAACAGACAAGTTGCTGTCCTTTTGTT